CACAGCTAGTGGAACTAATATTAGAGCCCTGGGAATCTGGCTTCCTCAGGACCATGTTTTGTGATTTGTTTGTTAGGTGCTATGGAGTCGACTCTTACTCATATGACCTTATGTACAACAGATCAAAACACTGCCCCATCCTGTACCATCCTCACAATTGCTGTGTTTGAACCCATTGTTGTTGCCGTGGTAACAATCCATCCATTGAAGGGTCTTCCTCTTTTTTGCTGACTCTCTACTTTGACAAACATGATGTCATTATCCCAGGGCTGGTCTTTTCTGACAACATATCCAGAGTACAAATGACAAAGTTTCTGTATCCTCGCTTCCAAGGAGCAAGCTTCTAAAACAGATTTGTTCCTTCATCCATCAGCTTATGGGACTTTGATATTCGTTGCCAATACCATAGTTCAAATGCATTCATTCTCCTCTGGTCTTCTTTATTTATTGCCCAACTTTCACATGTATATGAGGTGATTGGAAATACCATGGCTTGGGATGGGTACAATCTAGTTCTCAAAGTGACATTTTTGCTCATTAAAACTTTGAAGAAGTCTTTGGCAGCAGATTTGCCTAAAGCAATATGTTGTTTGATTTTTTTAACTGCTGCTTCCATGAGTGTAGTTTATGGAGCCAAGTAAAATGAAATCTCTGAAAATTTCATTCTTTTCTCCGTTTATCGTAATGCTATTTATTGGTCAAATTATGCGGATTTTGACTTTCTTTACATTGAGGCTCAATTCACGCAGTCTTTGATCTTCATCAGTGAGTTCTTCAAATTCTTTTCCTTCCAGCAAGCAAAGTTGTATCATCTGCATAACGCATATTGTTAATTAGTTTTCTTGCAATTCTGTTGCCACATTCTTCTTCATATAATCCAGCTTCTCAGATTATTTTCTCAGCATATAGACTGAACAAGTCTGATGAAAGGATACCACCCTGACGCACACCTTTACTGGTTTGAAACCATTCGGTATCCCCTTGTTCTGCTTGAATGGCTGACTGCTTCTTATTCTATGTACAGGTTCTGCATGAGCACAGTAAGTGCTTTTGAATTCTTCATAATATTATTCATAGTTTGTTATGATCCACAGTCAACTGTGGTTCACCGGGTAGCACTGATCCTGCAGCGCCACATCAGGAGTCCCATGTCCCATAGGAGTCCCATGTCCACCTAATATATGTTAAAGTAAAACTGTACTTTGTAGGATTTATTAAAAAAAACTTTTATTGTGAATGGAGTGATAATTTACATGGAAGAACATTGGTTTTGCAATCAACCAATCATCAATTTGTGCACCATCAGTTAACAGTATTTGCCTCTATTCCTTCTTTTTTTTTTTATGTACACAAAAACACGCAGGAATATATAATTATTTAAACAACCAAAGGGCACATTTTGAAATCCAGCCACTCAGCTGCCATCACCCAGCTTTCTCTTTCCGTGAGTGTAGAGTTCTCAGCTGCTCTATCTCCTTTTGCCATCACCTCTGCCTCCATCTCTGGTGTCACTTCTTCTCTGGTTAGGATCCGTAGCGTCTTCACTAGTTAATTTTTCAAAAGTAGATCATCAATAATGTGAAGCTAATCTTTTCCCATGTAAACTATCATATAATTCACAATAAAGCATTTTTAAAAAGCAAAAAAACTTGTCCAAGAAGAGAATGCTGAGGTATGTGGGTACTTTGGCTAGAACTTTGGGTCTTCAGACATGAAAATCTAGGGATCGCTTACTTCACCCCACCCCACCCTGTCCTGTAATTCATTGACTCTTCAAGGCCAAGCTAAATTGCAGGTTTCCAAATTTGCCCTTAGGAGGGTGCTTGGAGTGCCTTGGAATACTGATGTTGTCTCTGAAACGTTCCAAGCAGCTTGAGAAAAAACAACTCTCGCTTTTCTGATTTATG